TTTCCAATACTTGTAAATGATTTTTGTTTCTGTAATATTTAACAATTTTTGAAAATAAATCATAAAAATATTATAGTTTTAACAAAAACATAAAATGCTATATCAATGACATGTCATGTATGTATGCATTCCTTCATTGGTTTAAGTCATAAATAAGCAAAAAGAAAGAAAGTTTTACATTTGTATGAAGATTTACAATAGTTTCTAAAGATATATTCATTAGTTGTGATTGTTTTTGGAGTTATAGCATATTCTGTAATAAATAAGTTAATGAAAACAAGTTTTTCCATTATATTAAGTTTGGCCTCATTTCTAAACCATTTTAGAAATGGTTTGATTTAATTGTCAGACCATTTAAGGCTTTATGCTCTTCGCAGCAATATTTCAAATGACATCACAATATCATTATATAATGCATTGAATCAGTCATTGATTGGCGCAGAATATCTAAATCCTTCGTTTATTTCTTCGTTAAATAAATTAAGAAAATTTTGTCTTTATTGATATTTTTGTAAAATAATTTTTTTTTTCTAAAATCAAGTTTACAAATATTGTTTTACTTGTTTTATATAAGATTTTATTGACCATAAATACAATATTCAACAATATTGTTGCGAATCCCTGTATCCATACGAGCACTCAATTAGTGATTAAAATTATATATTTTAATATTTTATATACAGTAATGTAACTTTAGTAGTTATGTTAGTTTAGAATGACCATCACAGGTATTGACCACTTACAGACCTAGACAGACTTACACTTGTAGACCGTATTATTTAGTCATAATTTCTAACCACAATTCAATGCAAAATGTGTTGTTCATGGGCTCAGAGTATTTTCAAAACTTCTCAAATTCACCCAAATTGTGGTATAATTTAACATTGCTTTAATCTTTAGTCTTAAACTTAGCATTGTTTTAATTTTAATACATAAATTGTATTTTCATAAGTAAAACATAGACATAAGTTATGTCACATAAACACTTTTAATAAAAGTCTTTTATAGACATTACAACAAAAATTGTTTAAACATTAAATTATGAACTATTCATACGATTCAAAGCCCTATCATATTTAGTAACTAAGCGCTAATATATTACAATTCCTAAAACGTTTGTTTATTTAACATTGAAAATAAGTTTACTTTAAAATATATATTATTGAACCCAAAATTCATTGATTTCAATGATAAACATTTAATCATTCAATCATAAAATTCTGTTAAACTTCAATGATATTACAGTTAATTTATTTATTCATAAAATTATTATGTTATTAAACAAATGATCAAATATTTTAAAGTTTTAATTTTAAATTTATACACTTTATTATAATATTGATATCATACAAGACATTCGCACTATTATTTATTATAAAATTAAATATTTAAGTAAATATATTAAACAGTTAATTAAATGTCCAAAGAATGTAGTATTGTATCAGTACAATACAGCACTAATATATAAGATATTATACTGTATTAATAAATGTTTAATAAAATGTATTTAATTATTGTTAAGCCTATAATTGTATTTCATATGAGTTGAATATTTGACACTAAATTGTGTTAATTATAAACAATTAATAAACAGATTGTCGTTCAAAGCGTTCAAAACTTTACGAAAACTTTTCTTATTTGACAAACTATTGGATGCGATGAGAGAGACATCTCGTGATTGAGTGATGGTATGTGTGAAGACATTATAAACAAAAATATTGTACAAATTGTACAATTAGTAAATTTATATAGTGTTGATTGATTGGTGTCTTGAAGTGGTCAGAGATGGCAAACGATCCGTTGAGCACAAAGTTCTACGAGAAGCCGATGCATGGCTTTCCTGAGGGCCCGTTTCGGTCCAACATCAGTGAGATCTTCGGTCACATTCACGCGACTCAGTGTCAGATCGGGAACTCAAAGCCCAGATGTGCTGAGTTTCAGTTGAATGCCGTCGAGTGTCTCGAGGCTTACGGCGCGAAACGCGGCCGACGGGTCTGCAGTCGATATCTCGACGACTATCAGGAGTGCATCCGTGGCTATAAACAGGTAATTGATTGACGCTTTGATACGCTGACGATGTGCTGACTGTGGTCTTGATTCATTCTTTGCAGTCCCAGAGAGTGAATGAGATGACCAAAGAGAGACTGAAGCAAGTGATGAGAGGGGAGCGCACTCTCGACAACTATCACGACAAAGTGAAGCCTCCGAGAGATGCCTATCAGTTCGGACCCTTTCATCCCTAACCTCTCTAACACTTCATTGTGTCCAACATTTTTGCCATTCAATCACTTTTTTAGTAGCGTTTAGTTTTTAGCGATGATTTGAATGGTGTTATGAAATACTTTATTGGATTTGATTATTAGATATTATTAAATGAGATGTCATTACAATTGTATTAAAAATATGTTAATAATAGGAAAATAAATATAATTTAATTGTAAAATGTAGTTAAAATATTCGACACGTTTTGAGAAATGAATTTTTTTCAAACATATGATGAGATGTATTATTATAGCTATTATGACGGCTATTATTCAATGAATGTTTGGCTAAGAGTTGTTGATATTGTGATTGAGGTCTGTGTAAGACAATGGCAGAACTCTGTCGTCTCATTGGTAGTCCGTTATACCGATAATGACTGACCACTCCATTACTGCCGTACGTCTGTAAACCCATTCCGCTGTTTAAGTAATTATAACCCAATTTATAGGTTTGACTTCTCTGTTGTCTATATTGAGGTACAAATGGTGCGATCCTCTGATGAAAGAGTGGATCTATTAATGAAACAATAAAGAGGCGAATCTATTATTTGTCAATTCATTTGATTTGAGTAATGATTGGTTACTTATGGCAAATGATGTGTGACCTGTATTTGATTGCATTATATTTGGCATATTATTTGTGTAAAAGGGTTGGTTAGAGGAGTGAAAAACTGGTTCTTCATTGTAGTCATCGTTAATGGAATTGATATACGACTCCGCGAGGAAGTGGAAGACTATAATACAGAACATCATTATTAAGACTCTAATATTTTCGCCACAAAAGAAACCAAAAATTTCTTTTTTTTATTCAAACAACGAATTCATTTACCGTTTTCTACATTTAAGTTATCCTTAACTGAAGTTCTGAATAGTTTCCAGTGATGTCTCTTTACAAGACTATCCACTTCTTCACGCCTGACAACACTCTGATGAGACAAATCAATCTTATTGTGAACGATAGCCATAGGGATGTCTCCGCACTCGAACTCCACTTTCTTTTTCCACTTTTCAATACTTAAAAACGATTGACGATCTGTTGTCGAGAATACTATTACACATGCATTCGCTCCTGAAATACAACAATATTACATATTTTACAACAATATGAATAAAATAACAATTTGTTAATCGTTTGAAGTGATGTTTAGAAATACTTATAAACAAAATGAACATTATTTTCTATTATTGATAATTATATTTTTAAATCAATGAAATGAAAGAATACAAACCTCTATAATATGCTTTAGTGATGGCATCAAATTCTTCCTGCCCTGAAATCAATTCATACATTTCAAGTAAATATGTGTTGGTTTGGGAACAGTTGTGGAAACATACCGGCGGTGTCCCAAAGCATTAATCTTATATTTTCTGATTTCACACTAATTTATTCAAAAATTTAGTTAAATAATAGATATAATGACAAAATATATTGAATGTAATAATAATTACCGAATCATTCTTTCCATAAAGTCTACTCCAAGAGTCTTCTTATACTCATTGCTGAAGATTCCTCTGCAGAACCTTTGTATCATTGAACTCTTGCCCACCACTCCATTGCCGACGATTACAATCTGGGAATAGATGTCAGTTTTAATTCATTTTAAACTAAACATACAATATATGTAAAAATATCTAATTCATTAGTTATTTCATTAAATAAGTGTTTTATTTGACAGCAATCTATGTGATGATCAATTTATTTTCTCACAATTCATTTTATAACCAAGTTATTTCTCTTATTTTGTCACATTATTTTCACACAACGAGGTGAGATAATGATTTATGTACTCTACTTAATAATATTCTAATTGTTGTGTTCATATTAATCTTATTAACAATTATATTCAAATATAAGTGCAACAAAAGTAGCAAATTAAAGACAAAGTAAAATATTATTAAAGATTTAAA